AGAGAGAGAGAGAGAGAGAGAGAGAGAGAGAGATGCACCATGATTTGATAAAAATAGCCAGACAATAGCATGATTGTACATTTTAAGTCTAAATTATTATGAATTTTCCTAATAACTAAAATGTTTTCATACATCAACATGGAATCTGGTACTCACCAAAAAACTGCACTGGTGTGAAAGGGATTGTTTGAGCCAGTCTCATTAAATTGTTTCTTTCAACAGCTGCAAAGAACAGGTTAATCATATGATTTGAAAATTCTTGTCCACCATTTTAAAAAAGAAAATGTGAAAACAGCTGTTATTCCTACCAAAGGCCTTTGACCGGGAGACATAAAATATGGTACAACATTTGAAGTGATCAGAATAATGGTTTAATTTTCTTCATGGAGGTAAAACTAATTTGTTAAAATATTATCTATTTTTTTCAGCATTTTAATTTTCTTACACTCCTCTTTTCTGGCCACTGGCTGGAATGGGCAAAAAATATTGAGTGGTGGAATAAATCTAGTAACTAGACAAATATTGAGTTAGAGATGGAAAAGAACTTAAAGGAACAATATAGCACTGGAAAATATTTTAAAGAAACCATTGGAATCATTTATTCAACTCTCAAGGGCCACCCACTGAATTTATTCTTCTGATTTAAATAACATGGGTAGTATTTGATAATATCATTTCAACCCTACAACTGATCTAAAGCCTTACTGTAAAGTATTGACAAAAGTTATTAAGATTTAAATCTGAGTTTCCCTCGGATCTTTAGCAAATTACTGAAACTTTGTCTAAATTCAAGGTATTCCTTTCTATCTTTCTTTTCAGATAGCAAAGCAGACTATAATATAGGATGTATTTATTGCTGGATATACATCAAGGAGGGTTAGTGGCATTTCAGAATTTCTTGTGAGTATTTTTGTAAATTCCACTAGTTATAAAATGATCCTTCACTTTATCCACATTTGCAATATAAATTTGAACTATCTTATACATTCTAGACAATTTTTCTGGAATCATATACCAGAAAATATATTTAACACTTGGCTTTTTTCTTGCCATATAGATTTTGATATGTATATCTTTCTGCCATTGTTCAGTTATCAGAAAAGGTATTGTTTGAAACAAAAAACATTATCCTTGACAAAAGATATATGTTTCTTAGAAAAATTCTCCTCAACATACACAATTGTAATTTCTCCCATGTTAAGATTCTTTTTAGGTTTAAGATTCTAGCTTATACTGCAAGATTATTATATGCATATACTATACATGGAAAGACTGAAACATCACAATGGAGGAATGGTTGGGAAAAATGATTAACATAGATGGCAAAATCACTTAACTAGTGACAGATCAAAAAGTACACTTATCAGTGACTAGAAACTCCTTATGGAATTTTTGTTGAAAAAAGAGAAAAATGAACTTGTGATTTATGAGTTTGAAGATTAGAAAAGGTTGCTTATGAAAAGAAAGAAATTATGATATAACTCTGGATAAAGAGGGCAAAATATAAATGTATTTATAACCGTTGTCAAGGAGATTGGAAGTCATTTATATAAATTTTTATTTTTATTTTTTCACTATTTTTATTATTGTCTTATTTTCTTTTATTGTTTTTATTTTTGTTAAAAATTATTCAATAAAAATAATTTAAAAAATAATGTGTAAAGTTTGAATAGACTTTCTTTTCAGTTTTATGAAAATTCATCTTGGTGCTATTTTTAATATATACTAAATTGATCGCAGCAGATTTGGTATATGCTGATATGTGTTTATAATAGAATAGCTTTCGTATTTATTGCAATAACAATATACTACCTCTAACTATCATACAATTGTTACCTGCTACAAATACTTCATTAGCAATCTAACCCTGAACAATATTTGCAAAGATTGTGATATACATCTGTTCTTAAATGTGTGACGGCAAGGACATCTGCTGGTGGGTTTCACAAATTTCATCAGCTTTGAATATGTAGCAGCTTGGGAGGTTCATATGTGTTCAGTGCTTCCAATACGGTGTGAAATCATTTTTAGTATATGAATTCACTAGGGATTGATACTAAAAGCAGATTTATTTCATAGGAAACTGAACTAGCTGATCCTCAATCTCCTCTACTTCCCTTTATTCTATTTCCTAAATATAATATTAATTATATTTATAAAAGAAATTATATTATAAAAGAAATTTTACTTCTATGGCTTTTGATTACAGATCTGTTATTATCCTTTCCAGTAACCAATTTATTTTACCAACAACTACTTGGCATGCAGAAAGCAGTGCTAACATAATAAATTATCTTAATCTCCCCAAGATACTCTCTTAGGAATTATTTTAATATACGGCTCTTGATAATGAGCTACTTCAAAGTCAGATAATTAGAAAATGATAGAGGGAAAGAATTAATATACTCAGCATACTCACTTAAATACTCACTACGTACCTGAGTAATGATGGTGCAAATCTTGAGGGGTTTTTAAAGAGAGTGAGATATCTGAAATATTTTTAAAACATTAATGTTAAATATGGAAAATACACTGTTGTGAGCACTGTGCAGTCAAGATTGCCATAAAGTAATTAGAATGAAAGAGAATCAATTTTAACTTTTTGTTAAATTATCAGTAAAAGCATATAATTATACTGGGGACCATAATATTATTTGTTTGTTTCCTAAGACCTATATCTTTCCCTATTCCTAGCAGTCTTTGGGCAGAATACAACAGGGTTAAAACAATTTTAAAAATATTATCTTAATTGTATTTATATACAATTAAAACAATATTTTAAAAAGTCAATGATAAATGACATAGGTACCAATAAAATTAAAATAACAGTTAAACGTATACCAGAATAAGATGCCTTTCAATTCAACTGAAAATCTGTTCAGTTGAAGAACACTCTGTTTCCCTGAATTTGAACATTTATTATAAGTTTTATAAAGATAGGTTTGTTTTTTATGGCCAAAGGCCAGCAGTTTAAAATAACATATCAGGACAAATTATCCAGATACAGTTCAAAATTAAATCATGAATCAGTATAAGGAAAAAGGAAAAAAAAAGATGGTAGATGAATAAAATCACTGAAAATGATAGAATATAACTTTTATAATAAGTAAATTTTAATATAAATCTAATGGTTACTGACAGCAGTAGAGACAAGTGTTAAAAGTTTGCTATTTTCGTGGAAGCTTTACTGCAGCAATCACTTAATTAAAAATGCACTATATTCTGTTAGCTCCAAATCGACTATTTTGCAATTAGTGGTATTAATAATTCTGCTTTCCCAGATTGGGCAGGCCAGGAATATATGTGTGTAACCATATTAATTTCAATATTAGAACAGATAAAGAGATTATCTTGGAAAGGAACATTATGACATTTCCCTGTTAAAACCATTGAGGGGAAGGTATCTAGATGTGTCCCAATGAATATCTTTTGATGTATCAATACAGAAATTTAGCGCATACAACTAAAATGTAGTGAAAGGTAAAGGTCAAAGTAAAAGTGGTGTAACTAGTCTGAACTGAAGAAAGTTATTATTTGCAATTCATAAATTGATATTATAGTTTGAAACTAGCCATAATTTTCAGTAACTGTTGATATAATAGCTGAACATACATTACAGGTCTTCAGCATCTTTGGATGTGTCTGGAAGCCTTCATATATATAACTAAGTACTAATGCCTGAATTTTTTCATTCTTCAATCCCTTTTTATTTTCCATATATTATATGACTTTTAAAAGGTAAGACTAAACAAAACACCTCAACAATCTCTACAAATGTATCTAGGGGATAATCGGTTATAGTAAGTTTCCATATAGGAAAGTCTAAGTGAGTTGGTAGTGAGAGGTTCTTCTAAACTAACTTTGCTCTAAGCATGCATTTGACTACAGTATTTACAAATAAAATAAAATAAAATAAAAACTTACTGCCATCTCCATCTAAACTTCTCAACCTTTTTGAAACAAAAAGGGGAAATGGATTTTTATCATTAACTTAACATGCACTCAAACACAGAATGATTCATTGTATTGAGAAACCTACATAGCTTTTCATTCATTTTAATTTTGCAAAGGATATATAATAGTCATTACAATCAAGACTAGGTTCATTGAGCATTTATACACTAACTTGTGTCTCTTGATCTCTCATGACAATTGATAGAGAAACTTCTTAATTGTAAACTCTATAATTTTTACTCAGCATTTATCTTCTTGATATATCATAAGTGGTGCATGCAGAGATATATTTCTGTGCATTTTTGGCACTAGTTTCAATGAGGATCTCATGCAGATTGAATTCATATTTATATTCACATATAAACACATTTAATATAACTCACAATCCTTCTAAACAGCTTTTAGAATGGGACATCTCAAAGAGGTATCAGCTAAATGATTAAAGATCACAAAGGCATGTTAGGTAATAGAAATAATATGGTTAAAAACCATCAAAAATGCCATCTGTGATCAAATAGACAATACTTACGAGTAGCTTCTGCTCAGATTATTCTTTCTATTCTTCCTAGTCCAAGCAATGCTGTTATTTAAATCCTGAAAAAAGGTTATTGTTTCTATTATGAATAGGCATTTAATTCTGCTTGTATATCTTAGTTCATTATTAGTAACTTTCATATATCTATATACCTTCTTTCCTCTGTAGAAGCATACATTTTGCACAAAATTGTAGCTTCTTTTAACTACAGTTTATTAAGTCCATTTATAATATTAATCCATGTTTGTGACTCACCAGTTATAATAACTGGATATTTTGACCATGTTAAAATAAAATCAACCACTTCATGAAATATATACATACAAATATTATTAGTTCTTCACTAAGGATACTGAAAGGCAGCAAGCATCTAAGAATATATACTATATTTAAAACTAAGCTTCTAGTTTTCATCTCAAAATGTTTTCAAGACAACCTTTGTTATTAATATTTAGTTATTGTAGATTTAATCAATGGACCAGAAAACAAATCTTTGCTTTCCATATTTTTTTTATTTCTATCTATATAAGCAACTTAAGACAGCAAACATACATAATCCTTCCTTGAAGCTTTCCATGTAGCAGCTCGGTTTGATTAAATTATTCAATCAGCATCAAATATTTTTCTGGATCTAGTACAGGTAGTCCTCGACTTACAACAGTTCGCTTAGTGACCATTCAAAGTTACAATGGCATTGAAAAAAGTGAGTTAGGACCATTTTTCATGCTTACAACCATTGCAGCATCCCCATGATCAAAATTCAGGCTCTTGGCAACTGACTCATATTTATGACGGTTGCAGTGCCCTGGGGTTATGTGATCCCCTTTTGGGACTGTCTGACAGGCAAAGTCAATGGGGAAGAAGCCATATTCACTTTACAACTATGTTGCCAACTTAATAGCTGCAGGATTCACTTAACACCTGTAGCAAGAAAGGTCATAAAATGGGGAAAGACTCACTTAACAAATGTAGCAACAGAAATGTTGGGCTCCGTTGTGGTCATAAATGGAGGACTACCTGTACTATAGCCTAGCACAGTGTTTCTCAACCTTGGCTACTTGAAGATGTCTGGACTTCAACTCCCAGAATTCCCCAGCCAGCATTCGCTGGCTGGGGAATTCTGGGAGTTGAAGTCCAGACATCTTCAAGTGGCCAAGGTTGAGAAACACTGGCCTAGCAAGTTTGGTGATATCAAGAAAGTAAACTGGATTCCGATTAGGAAAGTTCCAAAGTACCAATTATAAAATTCATTTATCAGCAGATTTTATTAGAACTGTGTAAAAGAGTTGATCAGAACGTTCTGGAGCGTGCCTGAAACTTTTCTTTTAAAAAAAGTAATGCCATGTCTTTTTCCACCTTCCACAACGGCTACAAAAGGTATTTCTGGGAATACCTTGTATCCTAGATAAGCCATGGAAAGTAGCTTCCAAAATAGTGATATAAACCTGAGAACAAAGATGGCTGCTTTATCAAATTGAGAAGACATGCTATGTACGAGCTCTCTACTTTCCAAAAGATCCCTTTGAAGGATTGCACACAGTGGTGGGATTCTTTTTTTTTTACTACCAGTTCTGTAGGCGTGACTTGGTGGGCGTGGTGTGGCTTTATGGGCGTGGCAGGGGAAGGTTACTGCAAAATCCCCATTCCCGCCTCACCCCACTAACCTGCTTCCCAGCTCCATTCTCCTGGTCAGGGCAACAAAAGAAGATCAGCTGAGATGCAGCAGTGGCGGGGCCAACCTACTTATCTACTCAAAATTCTTCTACCAGTTCTCCAGAATCTGTCAGAACTGGATGAATGCCACCTCTGATTGCACACCACCAAGCTATATTTACTCATTGATGCTATTTCCTTAATAAGTCACAATCATCTAAAACATCAGCTTCTAAAGTTATTCTCCTCATATATCCTTGACTTTATGTTTTGATAAGTTAGTTTTTTTTAATTATTGATCTTTAAAAATATTACAGATTAATTACTTACTGTGTTTCCCCCAAAATAAGACAGTATCTTATTTTATTGGACCTCCGAAATAAGCACTTGGTCTTATTTTTGGGGAGATCTTATTATTTTTAAGCTGCAGGAGGTGGCGAGCGTGGTCACCTCATGGCTGCTGCTGTGTTGCAATAGTTTCAAGGAAGGTTTATTTTGGGGGAGGGCTTTTTTAGCGCATTCGCTCAAAAGCCCGATTGGGCTTATTATCTGTGGATGTCTTATTTTCAGGGAAACGGGGTATTTCTTCACCAGCATCTTCTGTACTTGCTGCATTAAAAAAAAGTATCAGGCTTCTTTAGTTTGCTCACTAGAGATTCAGCAATTAATATAAATTACAGACCATAAAAATCTACTTTGCAACTCTTACCTCTTGCGATTGTCTCAAGTAGTCACAGATTTGCACTGTCTGCCTCACCAGTTCTTGATTTTTCATTTCCTGATGCATACAACTGATATGATCTAAACCTAGCCAAGTAAACAAATATAAGAGCTGTATGTTCAAAGTCGTTGCAAGTATCTTGTTCCCCAAAAAGTGAAGGTATGTATATCAATAAATCAATTTAAAGCAAGATGGTTCTTATCTTCTACCTTTGAGAAATAAGACTTTCATAAGGGTTATCAATGTCAACACAGGGCTGTGTCATGCTGGATTCTTTTTAGACAAGTCAGGCAAGCTTTTTTTTCACCCTTTGTTTGACTGTCACAAGGATATTGTTATCAGTCGAGGGACTGAATGGCATGGGAAAGGAAATCTGCATAATCAGGTTTGATGATAAAGGATTTATATAATAAAATGCAGGTAGTTCTCAACTTACAACAATTCATTTAGTGACTGTTGAAGTTATAATGGCACTGTAAAAAGTGACTTATGACTGGTTTTCACACTTACAACCACTGCAGCATCTCCGTGGTCATGAGATCAAAATTCAGACACTTGACAACTGGTTCATATTTATGACAGTTGCGGTGTCTTGGGGGGTCATGTGATCCCCTTTAGTGACCTTCTAACAAAGGTGATCGGGAAGCCAGATTCACTTAACAGCCATGTTATTAACTTAACATCTGGAGGAGTGATTTACTTAACAACTGTGGCAAGAAAGATCGTAAAATGAGGCAAAGCTCACTTAACAACTGTTTCGCTTAGTAACAGAAATTTTGGGCTCAATTGTGATTATAAGTCGAAGTCCCCCTGTTATTAATGTGATCTGGATAAGGTAGGTGAAAATAAAAGAATTTTGGGCATGGGCATGAAGCGCGCTAAATATTTAAAATCTTTCTGGAATAGAATAGTGGTAATTTGCATCTGTTAACTCCCTGAAATATTTAAGGCATAAATTTTACATTTAAAAAATACCACAAATAAAGACAGGCTAAAAATACCAGCTTTCTAGTTGTATGCAACCCTCAGAGAGAAGAGGAGGAGGAGTGAAACTTGTAGCAAAATAAAGTTAACTAATCCTGTTCTTCGGAACTCATGAAAATTTTGCTGCTTCCATGCAATTTCTTCTTACTGGACCACAAATGGAAACTAATATACTTATGATCAAGCCAACATTCAATAGTAAACCTCTGTAGAACAATCATACGTTCCACAGGGTGCCAAGATTTGCTGTAAGTTGTACATCTTTAATTTGTTACATATGATTTGAAAATATATTCATTCTGTCCATCATGGTAGATCCGGGGTGTCAAATTCAAGGCCCAGGGGGCAGATTCGGCCTTTAAGGTACTTAGATCTGGCCCATGAGGTTGCCCTGGAAACAGCAAAAGACTGGCTCGTGGTGCCTGCCAGCAAAACTGGAGTTTGGGAGGGCTGCATGAGGCCTTCCTGAGCTCCATTTTCACTGGCAAAGTGTTGCAGGAGGCCGTGGCAGCCAAAAAATGGAGCTCGGGAGCCTGTTTTTGCTGGCAGAGTGCTTGGGCCACCACAGACGCCCCCGACATGAGTGATGTTGGGCTGCCCATGCCCACCCTGGTCACACCTACCCCGGCTGTCAGAGGTCAAACACAATCCTGATGTGGCCCTCAATGAAATCAAGTTTGACACCCCAGTGGTAGAACTACAACTTTCTACAACTTGTGAAATTAGATTAATATATTTGTTATTCTTCAAATTCATAATATTGCAATTCTTCCCAAGAAGTTTCTTAGCCTATCTTTATAACTTGTTCTCTTGAAAGGTTATTTTCAACACTATGCATAGTTTTCTTTTAGTCCCGTGTGTAATCTTCATGAGCCTAATGTGACGTACTTAGTTGCTTGAAGTGAGACACAGTCAGCCATTTGGCCCTGCGTTCCTCTTCGTCTTCGGCAGATTTACTGTGAAGCGGTTCGAAATTCACTTGGATGCTCTGAGGGCAACTATCTACTGTAATCAACTGCCAAGAGAAAAGAGAAAATAAAAATTAGCCAAAGATCCAGAAAAATATCCATTTTAATGTCACCTGGACAGCTGTTATACTTTCAGGCCTTCAAAAGAAGAAGAAAAATACTTTATTGCCATTGTACGTATATACACAGTATACCCATACAACAAAATTCACATAACACCCAGAGACCAGGCCCAACACACACACACACACACACACACACACACACACACACACACCAAAAATTCCCTACCCCTAAACCACCCAAGCATCCACACAACAGACCAAGTAATGCTGTTCAACAGCTCACTGATGGTGGTTCTTTAGTTCATTGTTGAGTGCAATTGTAACTCTGGATAAAAAACTATTCAGAAGACGTGTGGTCCTAGTTTTAATTGTTCTGTCTGCCAGAGGGCAACAGTCCAAAAAGATTGTAAGCAGGATGGGAGAAGTCTCTGAGAAGGTCGGGCAACTTCCTCAAACAGTGAGATGCGAAGATGTCGTCCAGGGCTGATAGCTGGAGCCCAATGATATTCTTGGCAGTTTTAATGATTCTCTGTAGAGTTTTTTTGTCCTCTGCAAAGCTACTCCCATACCATGCAAGAATGCCGGGTGTCAATGGTGCTGCAATAGTAGGACAGAAGTAGATGCTGAGATAGATTTATCTTCCTTAGCATTCTCAGGAAGTACAGCCTCTTCTGTGCCTTCTTCACAAGCATGTTAGCATTCATAGTCCATGAGAGGTCCTCTGAGATATAAATGCCCATAAATTTAAAATTACCAATTCTCTCCACCTCCTCACCATTTATGTACAATGGTAAATGTACATCTCTCTTCCTCTTGAAGTCAGTTATAAGTTCTTTAGGTTTTTGTGGTGTTAAGTGTAAGAGTATTTTCTTTACACCACAATGTTATCCCGTGTACTTCCTTTCTATAAGCAGACTTATTATTCCTATTAATGAGCCCCACCATGTCGTGTATTCCACAAATTTAATAATTGTGTTGGTGTTATATAATGGGGCACAGTCATGTGTGTACAAAAATAAAGGAAGGGGCTTAGCACATAACCCTGATGGGCTCCTGTGCTTAGTATCAGAGTAGAAGATTGGTGAGATCCCATTCTTACTGTCTGTGGCCTATCTGACAGAAAATCCTTTATCCATAAACAAATCCTCTGATTTATACCCAAATTGGACATTTTAAAAAACAACCTGTTGGGTAGAATGGTGTTAAAGGCAGAGCTATAATCCCCAAATAATAACCTTACATATGTTCCCTGTTGTTCCAAAAGCATCTGTTAGCCCCATACATACAGAGATTAGAGAGTTAACAGGAAAATATTGCATGAATCAAATAGAGTAGAAACAAGGTACAAAAATATAGATAGCCCCCATTTTTATCCAAAGTTAAATCAAGATATTTAAATAAAAGTATTTGCATGCTCCATGCATTGAATTCATTATGCAATACAAGTAGATGACAGCGGGGAAGAAGCGATTTTGTTATATACCAATCAGTTGGAATGGGAAAAATGTCATCAAATGTAGGATTAAAAGTCACAATACTTTGGGGGATTCTATTCACCTATTCATCTTATTCACTGGGATGAAATCCAGTGATTAAGCAAATAGTACTCTATAAAGCATGTCTTTTTCCTGTGGATTGTATCCTACAATTCCAGATGACTCATTTCATCAAACATTTGAAAATTCGGAATATGATTCACAGAACAAAAAAGTTATCTCTGTGGATTAACTACTCCAAAACCTGCTGCTCTGAAATAATCTTCAGACGAGATGAACAGCTTTTCTTTGAAAACATGTTAACTATGCATTGTAGTTTACAAATAATCATCCTCTATTCAAATGAGTAGCTTCTATTTTTGATGGATGTTTATCCTTTGTTTAAGTAATGCACTCTCTGTAACAATATATATCACCAGAAGTTTAATCAAACCCATAGATTGGGCCTCCTCTGAATTCCATCTGCCAGCCAGTGCCAGCTGGCAACTACAAGGAGGAGGGCCTTTTCAGTAGTAGCTCCGACCCTTTGGAACGAGCTCCCCGTGGAGATTCGTACTCTCACCACTGTCCAGGCCTTCCGCATAGCCCTTAAGACCTGGCTAGCCCGTCAGGCCTGGGGACAAAGATAGCCGCCCCTCCCGAATGATGAATGAATGTTGCTCATTATTTTTACTTTATGTGTGTCTACGTCATTGTTTGTATTCCCCTTTCCTGATTTTATGTGAGCCGCCCTGAGTCCCCTCAGGGAAAAGGGCGGCCTATAAATGTTAATAAACTCTTAAACTCTTAAACATACATACCCACACAGAGACACACAAACCGAGTATGTATGTATATGTGTATGTACATATATATAAATGTTTTGTGTGTGTGTTTGTGCATGTGTTTTGTGTATGTGTGTGTATACACACACATATACATGCACACAGACTATACATTATACAGTATACATCTCTGTGTTTATTGTGTGTGCATATAAATGTACATATGTACACATATGCATACATACACATGCACACACATGCTGTGTGTGTGTACAGTGTGTGTGCATGTGTGTGTATGTATATGTGTGCATACATTTATGCACACACACACACAAACACAAAAACTCTTAACAAGATGTCACTGTAATTCTATTAATACCTACTGGAACTTGGAGAGTTTTTCGCTTTTTCCTTGAAGACCTCCTTTCTTTGTTTCCAAATTTTGCCTTGGCCCATACTGACTGATAGAGCTGAGTAGATTTTGAGACTTCTAAGAATAAAAAGGGGGAGGAAACAAATTCATATTTCAAATAAGTCTACACGTTTTGCAGTGAAGTTTCTGTTTAGAGATAAGACACATTGTGGTCAATGGGGTTTACTTTTAGGTATGCCTTTTTTAGCATTAATAGCTTGCAACGCCATGGAATCATCTTTAATACAATGGAATATATAAAGTTAAAGACACTATGAAGGCAAGAGATAAAAGTGGCTTGCCACAGACTTCTTACAAGGTATTTTCTAGCAATATTTTGAAAAACACTGATTATATATATTTATTTAGCATATGTATCTATTCTGCAACTAAACGAGTTCAATTTTCTGTTAAATCATAGAATAATATATTTATTTATTTATCTAACAAAAAAATTGTATAATTTCAACATACTAATATTTCTTTGTATGTCAAATTTGTAGTTATTTATTTAATTACAAATATTTACTGCTGTCCATCTTAAACAACTAAGTGGTTTCCAATTTATTTTTCTCTTTTCATGACTCTGTTTTCCAAGCATAACAGATTACCTCTCTTATCATTAGCACTGTAAGAGGTGACTATGAATGATGTACATGTAGACCCAATATATGGAGTATAGTTTGGGGAGGCTGAATCATCACAATTGCTCCTCAAATTTTGCTGATGAATAGCTAAGGATTAAACTATTTTTCTATTGTAGACAAAAGTATGAGTAAAGAGAAGAGGAGAGGAGTGGGAGAAGCTTAATAATATAGGTGTATGGAGGAAGAGTGTTGTGACATTTCATATGTCATTATAGTATTGCATATACTTATAGGTAAAGGTAAAGGTTCCCCTCGCACATAAGTGCTAGTTGTTCCCAACTCTACGGAATGGTACACATCTCCATTTCAAAGCTGAAGAGTCAGCACTGTCCGAAGATGTCTCCCTGGTCATGTGGCCGGCTGATTTAATACTGATTTAATTTATTTGTGTCCTGCCTTCTACATATACACAGAGAGACAGACAGACAGACAGCTAAAGAAGACAGAAATATAGAAAACTCTTAAAAAAAATACAGGTATTCCTTGACTTACAACCACATTGGGACCAGATTTTCCATTGCTAGGCAAGGTATTTGTTAAGTGAGTTACACTCCATTTTTTGACTGTTGTTAGGCTAATCACTGCATTTGTTAAGTGAAGCATGCAGTCATTGTTAATCTGGCTTCCTCCATTGACTTTGCTTGTCAAAGGTCAGCTGGGAAGGATGCAAATGGCAACCCAGGGATGCTGTACATCACAAATACATGCCCTTGCCAAGTGCCCAAATTTTGATCATGTGACTGTTGGGGATGCTGGAATGTGATGATTGGTTGTAAGTCTTCGTTTTTCCAGTACCATTGTAACTTCAAGTTGCTAAACAAATGGTTGTAAGATGAGGATTACCTTTAAATGCAATAGAGCAAGGGTCTCCGACCTTGACAACTTTAAGCCTGGATGACTTCAACTCCCAGAATTCTTTGCTGACTGGGGAATTCTGGAAGTTGAAGTCCACCAGGCTTAAAGTTGCCAAGGTTAGAGACCCCTGCACAAGAGCTCTCTCTTTGAAGATGAAAGCACAAGAAGAAGAGAAAACTCAAATCTGTGTTGTTATTGCCTTTTATTTTGCAGGTTTTTGCTGTTTTCTCAGCACCATGGGCACAAAAGCTGCTCCCTTTGCAGAAAGGCCAATTTCTCTTCAGAGGGTTGATCCACACAGACATGCTGCGTTGGAAAGTCAAGCGAGACTGTGAGTTGTCACTGCTGTACTCTGATACATCCGAACTGTAAGAGAAAGATTTGGATTCCTTGATCTGCATGTGCGGAGGACTGCAACGGCCATCTTCTTTGCCACAGGGCGATTGTTGACATGCTCGTCTTGACCAATTGCCACCATCTCTCTTCTCGTTGTCTTCCAGGAAGCCCCAATTTACATAACCTTTTCCTGGTCCTTCACAGTGATAAGGAGCAGATTGAGAGATCTCGCTGATGCTATTAACCGCGTGGATGGACAAATGGTGTTCGGCAGTAGTTTCGCTTTCTTTCTTAGCCAGGGAAATGTTCAGCTCCTGCATTTGGCTGATAACCGGCATTGCTTTTGCCACATCATTGGCACTGCATACATGGCATTGAGGGACAGTGTCATTCTGTTTTATTTCATCTTTTAAGTCCTCATCCTTAAGCTCATTCAGAGTAGTTGAAAGGGCCAAACTTAAACCAGCATCTTCAGAAGCTCCTTTCTGATCTGGAGGCACAAGAAGAAACTGTCCATATCGAGAGCCTGATTTATTCTCTGAAGATAACTCTGAGGTCAGAAGGCCATTTTCAACTTCCTGTTCTTGCTCTTTCTTGACTAATTGGATTTCACCATAGTTTAGGCCATCCAGAATGGGATGGTCCCCTCCTAATGACCAATGGCTTCTGGCTAGGTTCCTCTGAAGAGAAGGTGGCATGCTGTAGTAATTGTACTTGATGTTTTCACTTTCCATACAACTCAAAGCCTTTGAACATAGAGTGTTGCTCCAACTATGCGGAAGCTTCCTACAGGTCTGGTGCTTCTGTTCAGAGAGAAAGACTTCACCTTCTTGCAAAGTATCCACAGCTGAAATGACTTTGAGAGTATCAACTGTTAACACTGAGAGGTCCTGTAAGTGTCCCAGTTGGCTGTCCAAGGCAAGCAAAGAATCTTTGATATAAATTACTTTGTCGTGAATTTCCTTCAGCTGTGAAAACATTTCTTCAACTCTGGGGGAAGAACATCCAAAAATTATATTCCTATGCATGGTTCACTACACCAAAGGAATGTATTTACTGTACTTTCCAACCGGTAAATTAGACGTTCATTAGATATGAAGTCAAGTTATTTCACCACTTTTCTACCTTGTAACTCTTGATTAATGCAAGGTGTTTATGATTCATAGAATCGTTTGTCATAAATGTGAATATCTGAGACACACTTAAATGGTTTGCAGTCTACTAAAACAATTTCAGTGCCCAGAATTTGGTCTATGTGATCATTGGAGGAATAGAATAGTATTTGTTCAATATAATTCAGCATAACCCAAAAATTAGTTGAATAGATCTTTACTTTCTGCATTAAACTGAATAAAGCCTACAGCATGGTGTAGCTTAAGGAATTTATTCATTTTTTTCATATTATCTATTATTATTTTTGTTCCACTGTATTGCATAATATTTTATTAACATTTAAATATTTTGGACCAGTTCAACATGTTTCTGTTGCCAAAAATTAAGAGGGGCAGTTCAAAATTGCAAGATTGAGAAGTTTGCATACATGACCTGGCTCTTTTATGGCATACATGCACAAAGGGGCAGGGTTTTCATTGTGATTGTGTGTCATCTCAAAATTTTTGACCCTCCCCCATCAATGCCACTGTTGCTCGGTATCAAAAGAAGTATTATTACAAGACAGGCCCTACCTTTCATTTGTAACACGGATCTGTTCACTATCGCTGAAATGAAAGCTTTCCTTCTTTTCGTGTAGATACTGTTCCACACACTGTTCTTCAAAATCATGAAGCTTTTTTAATTCCTCATCACTCAGGTACAGTTCTGGGTAAAGCAATGACAAATCAATTTTACCTTTTTCGGATTTAAATAACTGCAGTGATCAAACAAGTGACAGAAAGGTGTCAGTTACAGGTGGATGAACCTTTCAACAGTGTTGATTAACTATTAATAGGGAGTGGTAAAATGAAACTTGATATATACAATGATACATACAATGATATATGAAGACATGTGTTGGTCTCTCGATGGATACATCGATAAAGCGCCTGGTTAGTTATTTTTTGTTTATGAATTTGCATAGAGCGACTGGATGCCATCTTGTTTTTTTCTGTATTGTGTTTTATTGTTTCTTAGATTGTGTGTCATCCAGAATAAAATAAAATATAATAAATAAAATCCTTTTCTCTTCCGTTGTAGTTTCCATTAATCTTATACACAGCACACCCACACATGCACACAAACATTACATATAGTCTGTCCTCAATGATATTGAACAAAGTTGTTTTCTTTACTGCATATAAAGACAGCCCTCTTTAAAGAAAGCAGTAGTAAATTAACGGTGTGGGGGGACGATGACAATATAATGGTATTACCCATGGCTAGTTTGCATCAACAAAAGTTGTTCAACATATTCTGGAAGCCATAGCATTTCCTTCTAAACAATATAGTTCATGCTTGGAGATTATAATAAAATTAGTTTTATCATTACAAGTCCTCTCTGGAATCAATAGAACATCGTATTTGTAGCCCAGGATTGAACTGTAGGCTCCTTGGTGCTCTCTAAGCTTGGTAGTTTTCTTGTAGACATTTCATTACCAAACTAGGTAACATCAACAGTGCAAATTGATGGTGTTATCTAGTTTGGTAATTAAATGTTCACAAGAAAATGAAGCTCAAAGAGCACCAAGAACCCCACCTCTCTGGAACACAACATGTTTTATCAACTGAGTGGTATAGCTACAACCCAACTTGATTAGAAATAATCTTGACTGAACATGATGTACACCTTTCACTTGGCACTAGGATGCTGATTGTAATCATAATCTGTGAATCAGGGCTGGGTTCCTACTGCTGCTACTGCCGGTTTGCTCAGAGATGTGCTGTCTGTGAGCTTAATGCGTGCAATGTGCACAATAGACAGTACTAAAAATGCTTCTGCGCATGTGCAGAAGCAAAAAACAAGATGGCGGCATCATAGGCCGTAGTTTTCTACACAGAGAGAACCGGTTTGGGGGTGTGGCAGGCCAAGTTACTACCTAGTCAGTCAAACCGGTCTGAACCAATTGGAACTCACTTCTGCTGTGAATTCCTCTTTGGAATTGCACCAACCCCCCTCCCCATGGATGCTAGGTGAAAGAAAGCTTTGTGCAATGAAGTTCCCTCACTTAGAAGTTCCCTCACTTAGATCTTGATGACATTCTTAAAGACCTCGCTATTCTCCCAGGTCTTATTTTTCTTCTCCCTGGTTTTTTCTCCCTGGCTGTTTTTGCTTTATTTCTCTTGTTTGATATGGCATATATTTGCAAGTATGGTGATATTTGGTCAAATTTTCCATCTTGTTCATTTATTTATTGTACATCAGAGATGTCAAACTGGTGGCCCATGGGCTGAATGTGTTACACACAGGCCACACCCACCCCAGCCATGCCCACCCTAGCTCCGCGAATAGGGAAAATGTCACAAAACACCACATGACGGCAATGTGAAGCAGTGAGTTTGACACCATTTTTCTACATTGCATCTTGTTCTTTTGCATTGTGCCAACACTGATTACAACAAATACGTAAATAAACAGTATTTTTAGAATTCTGCAGCACATCTACACATTCAAGGAAGAACGTGTGATAAAAAAGAGCAGCGGAACTTTTCGGGTTCTGAATTTAAACACAACCATTTAGACAGAATTTAAGTCCTTATTTGACAATATCTATAACCACACAATTATCAGTTGGAATGCCATTACAGTCTTTTTTTTTAAATGACATATATATTTGATCCTTGCATAAGAAATCTAAATATAAGACTCTGCTTACTGAGTTCAACATGCTCCTTCTCCTCTTGATCCAGTTGACTTGGGAGCCGGCGGTTGCAAAGGCAATTTAGCACAAGGCCAATATGGCTCAGTATGATGAAAGGTGGAGGCAGCCATGGCTTTTCATGGTATGTCATGATATAGCGGTAACGGTTATATTTCCAGAGTTTGTTTGACATAGACTTCATATCAAAATAAACATTACTGGGGATGAAGAAGGAAAGGGAGAGGGTGGATCAGATGGTCACTTTACAAACCATTTACAAAGCACAAACTTTATAACCATTGACATTTTACAACATATTTATGTTAGTTAGTGCTTAACAAGAAGAAATACAGGAAGTCCTCGACTTGCAACAGTTTGTTTAGTGACCATTCAAAATTGCAACAGCACTGAAATAGTGCATTCTGACTGTTTTCACTTTTACAATCCAGGAGTGGGTTTCAGCTGCTTCTACTGCCAGTCCGTTCAGGGATGCTCTGCATGCACACGCTATTAAAAAAAATGCTTCTCTGCATGCAAAGAAGCAAAAAACAAGATAGGCGTTACCGAGAGAACCAGTTCAGGGGTGTGGCAGGCCGAGTTGCTACCTATTCAGCCAAACCGGTCCGAACCGGTAGGAACCCACGTCTGTTACAACCATTGCAGCATCCCTGTGGTCACATGATCAAAATTCAGACACTTGGCAACTGACTCATATTTCTGACGTTTGAAATGTCCCGAGCACAGGTGATCCCCTTCTGTGACCTTCTCAGAAGCTAAAGTCAATGGGGCAGCCAGATTCACTTAACAGCAGTGTCATTAATTTAACAACTGCAGGGATTCACTTAACAACTGCAGGGGACTAACTAACAAGAAAATACTGCTATGGGCTCTACATGGGGTTGCCCTTGAAGAGCATCCGGCGACTGCAGTTAGTCCAGAATGCAGCCGCGCGAGTGATAGTGGGCGCACCGCGGTTCACCCACATTACACCCATCCTCCGCGAGCTGCACTGGCTACCTGTCGGTCTCTGGGTGCGCTTCAGGGTACTGATGACCACCTTTAAAGCACTCCATGGTAGTGGATCTGGATACTTGAGAGACCGCCTTCTGCCGATTACCTCCCTCCGACCGATTAGATCGCACAGGCTGGGCCTCCTCTGGATTCCATCCGCCAGTCAATGTCGACTGGCGACTACACGGAGGAGAGCCTTTTCTGTTGCAGCTCCGACCCTGTGGAACGACCTCCCCGTTGAGATTCGTACCCTCACCACCATCCAGACCTTCCGCACAGCCCTCAAGACCTGGCTCTCCCAGCAGACGAAAGCGATACTTACTTGAAGAAAGCAATAAGGAGATTGACCATAATGATGTATTGTACAAAGAGGTACACTGCTTGAAGAAATGGGGTGAGAAATGAACCTGGAGGACAGTTTTTATCTAATTCACAAGCTGAAAAAATAAAAAAGAAACTATAAATCTGGCTTGTGAATACTAATACATCCATTCATCCATTCATGAATTAAGTGATCCAGCCAGTTTAAACCAAATAATAAAGTTTAATCAATTTGATGATAGTAAATTAGCCATAAACAAACTGCTTCCAACCATTTTCTGTATAGTTATTTCTTTTATTTTTCATAATGAAAGACAAATTATGTATTTAAGAACAAGAGGATAGAGTTCTTAGAAAAACGCATGTAGTATATTCTATATTACGAAGGTTTTAAAGTCAGAGCAGTGGGTGAAACAATCTGAAAATTATTGAACTATGACCTCATTAGAAATTATAGTATAATAATATTTAAAGTATAGTGCAATCGAAGATATCTAGTCATTCGGCATATCTTTCTTTCTTCCCATAATTTTAAGAGTCTGAGACAGACTCCAGCTGGGAAATTCAATCATCAGTCAGAAAGGATGGGGAAAGGGAGTTTTTTATTGTTTATCGGGATATTAGAGCTTTTAATTGCAGTGAAATTGAAAGAATGATGAAATTATGCTTCATTTGTATTACAGGTTATAGAGCACAATTAAGGCAAACATTTGGTACTGTTCATTATTACTAGCCACATAATAAGTGGCTGTGTTAATAATAGGTAAGCTATGCCTTTATTTATTTGTCCAATTTGTATTTCACAAGAAGTGACTCTGGGAGGCAGGCAGAAAAACCTACTATTAAAACATGCTGACTATAAATCCATTAAAAACAATTAAAATAATAGATGTAAATAGAAGATGAAATTTAAATGGAACATTTCAAAAGGAGCAGACATACCATCAATTTCTCCTGCATACACCTCACCAAATATCATCCAATATGGCTGAAATACAATATCTCGTGCAAGAGTCCATGATGGCTGCTCATTTGGAGAAAGTATTGCTTTTCGTGCAACACCAAAGCTTAATAGTACTATGGCCATCATAATTACAATATAGAACATGTTTGCTGTCTGTAAATGAAAACAAAACAAGGTATCATACCGGTAGTAAAACAGTCTCTGCTGTTGCTTTTAATAAACCTGATTGTGCAATCTATTAAGAAATAATACAAAAACATCTTATAAGATATAGGGTTGCCAATTATTCAAAAACCATTAATAATAATAATAATAATAATAATAATAACAACAACAACAACAACATCAAGCAAGGAATTTTCCAGGGTGATTCACTTTCACCTCTTCTCTTCATCATCGCAATGATCCCAC